GTGCCGGCACATGAGCTGATCTATGCCGTCCAGAAGCACCTCGACATTCCTCGGGTCGTCGTCCTCTGCGTCTCGGGCAACTCTCATGGCCTGTTCGACGTACGCCCATATGCTGATAAGTTGCTGGTGTCGAAGAGATCGGGTGTAACCAGCCACGGACCAGGGTTGAAGACCTTCATCATCATAAATATGCACTTTAGAAAGTTGCTATGCAAGAAAGTTGTCTCGATTCGTCCGAGCGAGTTTTGTAGAAACTGCTGGGTCTCGGGCTGGTTCAGGAAAATCAAGACGTCCTTGTGCAGAAAGCGCACTTCCAGGTCCTTAACTGTGGCTTTTCGGCGACGTTTGGTGGTAGTTTTGGTGGTCATAGTTTTGGTGCTGGTTTTGGTGGCAGTTCTGGCGGTAGTCAACGGCCTGGCTTCCAGAAGCCCGCCACAGTACCGTCGCATCAGGTTGACCGAGAGCTCAATCCTGGATTTCGCTTCGGTCTTTAGCAGGGGTTTCACAGGCATCTGAATTGCGGATGAAACATCATCCTCGAAGAAGGAGACAGCCAGAGATGTCATCTTGCCTATGCTTGTTCTCTCGTGCATAGGGATTATCTTGTCCGGGAGGGTGGAGCAATACCGCATAGTTTCGATCAGGCAGTGGCCCAGACGACGATTCTCGGCTGGGATTCTGTTCCGAAGCATGTGGTCGAAAACTTGGGCGAGCTCCTTCCTGCCACTTGGAATACCCTTGATGACGTTCTCTAGCTTCGAGATACCCATCGAGACGGCGATCTCCTGTATCAATGTCTCCACGGCCAGATGGACCCAGAGAAAGATGCCCTCAGACCTTTCCACGACCAGGTCGAACAAGAATTGCTGCTCCTCATCGGTGGCAATCGTCTGGAGTCGCGGAACTGCGCTCAGTTTGTCGAACACGTACAGGCGCCGGTCGGCTTGCGTGAGTTGGCGGAGTCGAAGCTTTGTCGAGTTTCTAAAGGCAGTTTCGAAGGCGTTTTCGGGTCTGCTCGACACGACGATCTTGAGATCCGGCGACCTACTCGCCTGGCATAATATCTCAGCTATCCTCATCTGCTCGCTGGATGTCGCCTCAAACTCGTCTAGGCCGTCGATGATCAAACCTACTGTGGCTGGAAGCTTGTCTGCGTTGACAAGTGTCTCGAATGCATGAGCCATGTCAAGAAGAGTTGGAAAGTTGGGTTCCCACTTTCGTCCAACAATGAGGTGATCGGGGAAGAATAGTTAGGCAAAAGCGTTGTCCTGATGGATGAGACTGTAGAGATTGCCTCGGTATAAGCCAGAGAGCGACTTGAGTTTGCCGTCACCTGCAGCTTCGGAGTTCCAGAAATAGAAGGTCGCCAAGACCAGGGGCCGCTCCCCGGCCCACGTCTGGAAGACGGGAAGGGTCCGGGGGTCGTCCTCGAGAAAGCGCATCAGCGAGCTCTTGCCGGTGCCGGCCCGCCCGCTTACCCAGAACAGCCCATTGCCGGCTGATATCCACTCCATGAATGTTGTATTCGACTCGGCCGTCTTCCTCTGCCCTGTGAAGATCCACTCAAACGTTTTCCGGTGGGCGACTCTGATGGCGTGATGGCGGTGTTTCATGGAGCTATACCAAAGGCGCTCCTTGAGATCTTCTATCATCCCCTGCTTGACGGCATCCGAGTCCCCCCCCTTGGCTGGCTGCATGGCTGCTAGATTGAGGTTCTGAAACTGCTCCATAATCTGCCCGTGTCTCTGCTGGGCAGAGTCCTCGGAATTCTCCAGCACCTTCATCGTGTCTCCGATAAGCGCCTTGAAGCCGTCGTCCAGCTTCTGAAAGCCTTTGGTGCTCTGTATGCCAACCCAATCCAGCTTCTTGGTCAGTGATACAAGCAGCTCCGATTGGATCTCGTTGCGCAAGGCCTCCAATCTCTTCATTTGGGCGTCAGGGTCCATGCGCATGCCACGCCAGACGACAACGATCACATCTCGGAAGTGCTTGAATCCAATTTGGCCGGTACGGGTATTGCACTCGTCCAGGCGGCTTGCAATTTCTTCCGCAAGCACCTCAATCTCGGCAGCGATTGTCTTGATCTGTTTCTAGACTAAAGTCAGCCACTAGGACGGTGAGAGGGGGGCAAAGAGACCGAGACGCAGCATGACTCAGGTACCGCCATGACTTGAAGAAGCGCGAAGGGATCCAGCGAGCCTGAGGGTGGTTGCAACCAGATGCAGCCTTACTACCTAGGTACCTACTTTCCCCTCGCCGCAGCACAACCTCCACAAAATGATTGATGCATGGCTACCTAAGGTACTTAAGTACCTCAGCCAGCAGCGCAAGCGATTGTGATGGGTTAGAAACCCGCAAGGTGATGCAATTGGTCCAGGCCCCTGGCCATTGCCGACGCCAGGCATTCTTGTGGGCATTCTTGTGCATACCAAAGCACTAAGTCAATAAACATCACGGCAGGTAAGAGAAGGCGTCATGAATGATGGAAGAAGACCCGGCACTCGAAGCGAGTATGCGGCCAGCGATGGGTTAAAACTCCCCATCAGCGATGCTTTTCTTTTTTAATAACATCCAATAACGTCATTCAGTGTCCAACCGCAGCTCTGAGTAACCAATAGAACTTTAAAGTTTGTTGTTTTATCTTCACGAGAGTCGATCCACTATGTGGTTCACAATTCTCAAAATCGCACGGGGGTCAGAGGCCTTGGTTTTCTCTGTCTTCTTCATCTTACGACTCTTTGCTCATTGTTGTTCCCTCGGACTAAAATGCCACCCCTCGCTCTCCTAACAAAAAAGGGTCCATGAACCCTGAATTGCACGCCTATTCATCGCAGATACTGTTAGTGGTATGACCCAGCACGCTAACACCCGATCCATCTTCGAGTGTTACACCGATCGCCCAATTCTGTTGCTTGTCATAGCGGGGATGCGTACCCAACAGCGTAGGATTTTGATCCCTTCCAGCGGGTGCAGCAGGGAGTTGTGTGCCAAGCACCCAAACCTCCTCAACACGTCGCATCACCGCCTGCCTTATCGTGAATGTCAACACACGCACAGGCAGAAGCAATGCCATTGTCAACCCACTCAATCCCACAGCACCGTGACAAAACAGAATCTTCCTTGAGAATTTTTCAGCATCTTGCTCTACGGATATAAAAAGTATATTAGACAGGTCCAGCCCTCTGGCAACTCAAGATGGCTGTTCATATCGCTCGACATTCACGACTTGGCGGTGCAGTGCGATCAAAGTACAGTCCTTTCCAACAGCAGCCCGCTGGCCCGTCATTTGGCTTTATTAAACCTTTACTTCTCACCATACCACCGAGCATATCCCCCCTTCGCAACATGAGCTCCATCACCTCAGCCAAGGCCAACGTCCTGGTCGTCGGATCAGGCGGCGTGGGCACCATGGCGGCCTTCGCTTTGGAAAAGGGCGGGAAAGCAAGCGTCACCGCTGTCTTGCGCTCCAACTTCGCGGCCGTGCAGCAGAGCGGATTTGATATCAAATCTCTAGACCACGGAGACATCCAGGCCTGGCGGCCCTCTGCGAGTGAGCTAACTCAACCTATTATTAACCCTCTCCTCCTCAGTCAACCTCCAAGCCCCATACTGACACTCCCACCCCTTAACTACTACAGTCCGCAACAGTGTGCCAAACACCGCAACCGACGCCACCGCCCAGCCCTACGACTTCATCGTAGTAACCACCAAAAACATCGCCGACATCGCCCCCAGCGTCGCAGAGATCATCGCCCCGGCCGTCTCCCCAGGCCACACAGCCATCGCTCTGGTCCAAAATGGGCTCAACATCGAGCGCCCGCTGATCGCCGCCTTCCCGTCCAACCCAATCATCTCAGGCGTGTCCTTCATCGGCGCGACCGAGGAGAAACCCGGCACGATCCGGCACGACGACCACGACGTGCTCCTCGTCGGCGCCTTCGCCAACCCCAACATTGCCCCGCAAGCCTCCGCGGCCGCCGCAAAGATCTTCAGCGACATGTACGGCAGCTGCCCCGGCATCGACGTCATCTACGAGCCCGACGTGCGCTTCACGCGCTGGCGCAAGCTGCTGTACAACGCGTCCTTCAACAGCGTCGCCACCATCCTGCGCATGGACACCTCGCGCATGCGCATCTCGGAGCATGTCATCGACGACCTGATCCGGCCCGTCATGCTGGAGATCCGCGCCACGGCGGCCGCGGCCGGCGTGGAGCTGCCGATGGAGTTGGTCGATCGGATGATTACCGTCGACACGTTTGAGGCGTTTTTCAAGCCGAGCATGTGTCAGGACATTGAGAAGGTGAGACCGCACTGCACCGTGTTTGAAGTGACCAGCTCGTGAGCACTCTGGTGTGTAAAGGAAGCGCGCTGACCTTTTCGTCAAACGAGCAGGGAAACTACATCGAGTTTGAGAACATCGTCGGCGAGCCGCTGCGGGAAGCGGAGCGCCTTGGCGTCCATACGCCGGCGCTCAAGGTCATTTACGGCTTGCTGAAGGGCCTGCAGTGGCAAAGGATGGAGGCAAAGGGGCTCGTGAAGATTCCCCTGGTGAGCGAGCCGGGGATGAAGTATGGAAGCAAGCCGAGGGTCGTGACTTGAGATGGTTGGCGGGAATGTCGACAGTTGATTCCGCATGGAAGGATATTACCATTTGGAAGCTGAGGATGTAGGGGCAGGTAGAAGGTTGGAGTGGGTGCCGCGAAGTATCAACTGATTGGGGCGTTGTTTTAGCTAGTATTAGACTCTCGACCCTCATGGCAGTGAGCAAATGAAACCATCGATGTCATGAGTAAACTGTGCGTAATTATTATTGATATGGAGGTGTGAATCCCATGTGTTGGTGTTATGCATGACATATCGCGGACCACGTACGCCTACACAGGTAGGCATCCATTATAAAAAGAAAAAAAATAAGAAAAATAAACGACGATGGGACTTGCAAGAGTCCAAAACTGCAAAAAAAGAAGGAATCAGACTCTGACATCTGACGCCGGGAATTGAGCCCGACGTGGGGGTCGAACCCACAGCCTTGAGATTGCAGGTCTTTACTAGTCCGTAGGACTCGAAGGAATAAGAGTCTCACGCTCTACCGATTGAGCTAGCCGGGCTTGCGACGATTTGTTGAAGTCGAGGGTGCGGCAATGTGCTTTTGAGTCGGTGTGAAAACTCTGACGGGAACAGAAAATGCGGATGGACAGTTTGCTCCACACTGATCTTTCCCGGGGGTTCGTTAAAAGTGGGACTGAAAGACATTAAACAAGGTTTGACCATGGCGTTGTGGGGAATCGTTTGCATTGTTTACTTTCAGCCCCTTTTTGTGCCTGACTGAGGGACGGCGGACACAATTTTCTTCAACTCTCATATCACAACATGAGGTAACTTGAACCACTAGGCTACTGCGCCTTGCTAATTTGATTTGAACTCACAGAAATCGGGAACCTGAATTGTGCAGCTCAAGATCTCCGTCGCGAAAAAAAAAAAACTGCAAACGCTAGATACAGTCTGCGATAAAGGGGCTGATAGTAAACAATAGACTAATGACAAGTAACGTTAGGTAGACACTACGTCATTGATAACCGTGATCACTGCCAATGCTTTCACATATTTGTCAGCAACACGGCCAGGTGGGGACGAGCCGACTGCCGGGAACATTACCGTCGTTTAGAACCGGGGCGTCTAGCAACAGCTTCATCTTCAAACTTTTGGCAGATTGACAATAAACCACCAAGCATTCCAATCCAAACACTTCATATCATAAATCAAACCTCGAGTCACACACATATCTGGTAGTGAACCCCACTTAATAGCACTTGACCGCATGGTGGAGCACCACTGCAACTGACGAGAACTCGCAAAGTCAATCCTCAACAAGAAACTCAAGCCACAACAACACTGCACGTGCAGGCTCAAAAACTGCACAGATGAAAGCCATCGGCATCTTCCCAGCATCTGGGGGGCTGGGAGAAAGCACCTTCCACCGCCTCCTCCCGCACTACAACCCCGACGAGCAGGGCAAGATCGTTCTCATCAGCCGCCACCCGGACAAGCTGAACGTGCAGCTCGGCGAGGCGGAGCCGTTTGTGGAGGTCGAGAAGCGACAAGCGTCCTACGAGTCCAGCCCGTCCGACCTCGAGGCAGCGTTTGCCGGCGTCGGCGTGCTCTTTTTGATCTCGTACCCCAGCCATGTTTGCGACTATCGCGTCAAGGTTTTGTCTTCCTAACCGACCCCCTCCTACCACCGGATGCTGACAAAAAGTCCAGGTCCAACTCCCCACCATCGACGCCGCCCACCGCGCCGGGGTACAGTACATCGTGTACAGCTCGCTCGCCTTCGCCGGCGACACCTTGTCAGACACATCCCTCGCCGAGGTAATGCAAGCGCACCTGGCAACCGAGCGGCACCTCCGCCAGCTCGCCGCATCCGACGCGAGCTTCTCGTACACCGTCCTCCGCATGGGGCTGTACTCTGAGTCCACGCCCATCTACACGGCCTTCTTCGACCCGAAACAAGCCCGGCAGCAGTCCCCCGACACGATCGAGATCCTCATCCCCCACGACGGAACCGGTCCCGGGATCGCCTGGGCCAAGCGCGACGAGCTCGGCGAGGCGACGGGGTGGTTTCTCTTTGCGTATGCGTACCGCGAGCCGGCGGCAGGCGAGGCGTTTCCGTTCCGGAACGAGACGGTGCTGCTCAGTGGTCCGACGGTGTGGAGTCTGGAGGAGACGGTGAGGGTGTTGGGTGAGATTGCGGGGAGGGAGGTGAGGATCAGGCAGGTCCAGATGGACGAGTATGTTGCGCTGCCGCGGGTGCAGGATGTGTTTCGGTCGGAGGAGAAGGCGAGGACCTGGGCGACGGCCTGGGATGCGATCCGCGCTGGGGAGACGGCGGTCGGAGGGGCGAGGTCGAAGCTGGGGGATATTTTGGGCAGGGAGCCCGAGGAGTTTGACGTCACTGCGCGGCGGTACTGGGCCTGAGTAACTGGTACCTAGCGGTATGGAATGGAATATCAGTCCGTTGTTGATAGTGGTCCCCGCTTGCTGGCAGGCATCAGCCACGCGGGCATGGCCAGGTCCCGATGCACACGGCGGAAGTGGTCGCGCAGGTGGTCCTTGCGGCTCTTGGACGTCTCGCAGTTGGGGCACTGCACCCGCTTGTCGCGGTGCTTCTCCTGGATGTGCCAGCGCAGCCCCGAGTCCGAGTCGAGCTCCTTTTCGCAGCCCGTCACGGAGCAGCGGAAGCGGCGTGCTCTACTTTTGGGGTGTTTGTCAGAATTTCTATGTGGTCGCTGCCGAGTTGAATGCAACGTGGGTGGTTGAATGCTTGCACGGCTTACCGTTTCTCAGAGTCCTTCGTCTCGATGGCGTCTGCCACGTCTCGATGAGACAAGGACCGCTTTTTGGAGTGGATCTTGGTGTCCTCCGCGACGATGCTGTAGTCCGCGTCCCGCGACAGCTCCACCTTGATCCAGTGGACGAAGTCGACAAAGTCGTCTACAAAGCCTCTCCCCAGAGGCATGGCGGCCTGAAGTCGTGTTAGTGTCTCGTCAAGAGAATGCAGCGGATGAACGAGATAATTAGACGGTGACATCAATGTCGCTGTTGACTCACCTTGGCGAAGTTGAGCAGAAACGCCTTGACCTGCTCCGGCGTCCTCAAAAGACCCCAGACAGCAAACGTCTCAACCACCGGATGACAGGCGAGAATAAAAACGCTCTTGGTCGCCTGCCCATACTCCCTCAGCTTAGCGAGGAACTTTGCGCGGAGCTCCTCGACGAACTTTGCCTGGTCCTCTATATCCGCCATGCCGTTCTTGATGTTCCTGGCCGTGATGCCGCAGCCGGCGATGACGTAGAAGAAGTCCCCAGAGTTCTTGACGAAGCCGCGGACCGTGCTGAAGGCCATGGTCTGCCGGAGGGTCAGGGTGTCTGTTGTATCTGAGGTTTCGTGCACCCTTGGGAGCAGCCTTGATGGGAATGGGAAGCCGTACGACGCCGGCGCGGCGGGGGGGGTTCTGGGCGTCGTTGACGTCTAGGAACATGGGTCCAGGGCCATCGACGGTTTGTGGAGGAAGAAGATCGCTTGGGGACATGGACCCCGTGGATGGGAATGAAAAGTCGGGAAAGGAAAAGTCGGGCCAGGGGAGCATGTCGGAGAATCTGAACTCGTCGTGCAGGCCCTCTCCTAGGGCAATGGCAATTCCTTGTGGGTCTACAAAGGACTGATGTGACAACTCGCTTCTGCCAGCGGCCACGGTGTTACCGCTCATGGTGGCCGGTGGCTTGGTGGAGGGGCGCCCCGGAGGCTGGTCAATGGCGATGACGGCGGCTTGTTGAGGGGATGGCGCCAAGAGGTCCTTCATCACGGATGGCCCTGCTGAGGGGTGGTTGGCAAACGAAAAATCAAACTGCGCCCTGGCTTCCGGCCACAGCTGCTTGGAGACGAGCTCAAACACGTGCTGTTCGGCCGGGTCGTGGATGATGTCTCGCCAGACACGCAGACCTCCCAGGACATTCTTCGGGCTGAGCCGCCCTCGCTGCACCAGTAACTTTGACGTGACGTATGAAACAGTCGCCAGGGCAAAGACGTCAGTGAGCCTTGTTGGGCCAGGCTTGTTGCCGAGGATGTCCAGAAAACACCAAGAGCCCACGATCCCGGAGATCTTTGGCAGTTCGATATGAGCTTTGCAGTCGCAGGGCCACCGGCGCACCCGACGTCGTGCAAATCTCTCTCATTTTCTGCAGCTGCTCTTGGACGTCTCGGGTCAGTTGTTTTAGTGCTTCCCACTGATCCGGGTTGGGAAGCCGCTCGGTGAGCCTGTTGCGGCGCGCTGCTGGTGATGACAACATGAATGGTGGGGGTGAGGGTGAATCAGGGTGAGCTAGGCCTGGGGGGTGTAACCGCGCCGCGTTGCGCATCTTTGCGAGTTCGACGCCATCGTACGCGTGGATAACGCCGATCGATGAATCACTCGAGTCGCTCCAGCGTCTGCCCGCGTCTGCGTCTGACGCTGAGCACAACCCCGAGTCCATGTCGTTGCTGCTGGCGTACCCGTGACTGTCGCACTTCGAAAAAGGGTCATACTCATCGCATTGGGACGCCGTCTCCTCGAGTTCATCGACGTAACGGAGGCCGACCATCATGCCCTCTGCTTCTGCAATTGAGTTTGATCGAGCCATGATGGGCACCTGGATTGGGAATTAGTGAAATGTAAACAATCGCCGTGGCCGTGGTGGTACATGCACATGTGTGCGTTATGCTATTATCCTGGCAACTGGCGAACAGAAGTCACCATTCAAGTTGTGGATGTTCCAAGTTGTGGATATTCTTGAGGGAGCCGGTTCTCAGCGCCAGACCGACTTTGCTTTGGGACAGTTGGAAACCAGGCTGGGGTGGGCAGATTGGGACAATGTCCCTGCTGACGCACTTTTCTGTCCCAAAGTCTGCCTTGCAGGCGGCTGACTGATAAGAACCGGGAACTAACTCCACGCCCAGGGTGTCAATATCAAACGGGGCTGGTTGGGTTTGGTTGGGACATTAGAGCACACAGCGGCCCTAAACGCTCAGAGATATTAAGCACCGGTCCTTGAGAGCCGTAATTGTCGTGAAGCAAGACCATATCTACCGCCGATGTCCCAGGACAAGAATATATATTCATGTATCTTGACTGGAACCATACACAAGGACATGACATGTTGTCCCAATTGATTGCCCGGTTTCCCAACAGGACAATGTCCTTGGGACACCATCAACATCGATATCGATGCCTTCCGTTCTTTCTCTGCTGACCGGAATCGTTATAATTTGTCGGTATACACAGCATGTCCCTTGGCCGTTCGATATTTTCTTTGCTCCGCCATTTTTCCACCTAGCATCACCTTCTTCTCCTCAACCAAAGCCCCCGGGCCAGTCGCATCTATCTCTCGTGTACCTTCTGCTATTCAAGCACAGGATGTCTGATCAAACCAACTCAACGTCCATGTCTGGATTAGTATCCCCCGGCAACAGTAGCGAAACCACCACGGTGACCAAAGACACCAAGCCGAAAGAAACGAGAAAAGGTGGCTGCCTGACTACCTCCAACCATTAAATCATCTTGTCCTTGGTAGCT